TCTTGCTGCAAAAACAGAAACGTGAGACGATGTGACCGGGGAGCAATTTTTCTTTAGGCAGGCAAACGTACAAGCCCTTTGAAAGGGGCAGGACTCGATCTTCAAGCATGTTGCCTTTGAGGAAGAGCTGTGTCTCCGTTTTCCTCTCTTGCCTGCTGGTGTGCCCTAGAAGCCTGGTCAGACGCAGCTCTTTCAAACCCTCCTTGGCCCTAGGCCCCGGTGCTGACAGTGAGGGACCCAGCTAAATCACCCAACCAGTGGCAGCAATGGGTTGTGTGTGTAACAGCCAGGCTGCTGGCTGTGTGAGCCAACAGCTGTCCTGGTCAGAAGCTGTGTCCATGCCCTCCTACCTCTGTCACATTGAAGGGCACTTCCCGAGTGTCGTCTTCTTTAAATGCCGTCTTCCATACCCCTTTGAAGTAAATGGCATTCACAAGGACCAGCACAGTATTGACATCAACAGAGCCTGACACAAGGAAATCTTGGATCCGTCCTTTAAGAAAGAAGCAGGGCAGAGAATGGTAAGATACACCTCCTCTGCTATGCACAAATGCCTGCAATGAAGGGCATGCGGGTCAAGGGTGCCACTTTGTGGAGTTTTGTTTTCATAGCAATTTGCAACCTGCTCTTGCTTGACCCACTTTTTCTAGACATTATGAGGAGAGGAAGACAAGGGTATAGATTATGGTAGGTAGGGGAAAATATCTGCTACCCATTTTTCAGTGCTTACCATTTGTCTCTTTCTCCACCCAGGAATTAATAAGCTGTCTTGCTTCCTCTGTAGCTGTTTTGAAGTTAACTTCTTCCAGCCCTGCTTTGTAGAATTTCTTTGCACACTCTAAGTATTCCTGTAAGCAGAAGGATTGCAGTTGTCAGACTGATAAGAACATGAAAATGTATAAGTGTGAAATGCAAGATTGTGAACTGAAGCAGAATGGTTAAAAGAACAGTGAATTTTACCCCTGAGTTTGAATGTGTCAGTCACAGCTGTCTTTCTGTAATTGAATCTTAAAGTTGGACAAGAAATACTATTTAGGTCTGGCACTTTTTTTCAGATAAGATTCTAAGTTAAAATTTTGAAATATTTTCTTCATTTGACCAAAACACTTTCAGTTTAACAAACATTTTTAAGGACAGACAATGTTTCTTTCCTTCTCTTTGTGCCCACTTTTTATTTTGAAAACTGTGATCTTACATTCTTAGGTTTCAAAAACAAAGCTTCCTTTCACTGAGAAGATTTGATATTTG